TAAGATTGCCAGTATATGATTTCCTATTCAACTTCAATAGTAACTATGGACCTATCTCTGCCAGTTTTGGAGATATAAGGGACTAAATGTTATAATTTTGGAGTTACAATAATGTGCCATAAATTTCGTACAGAAAAAATTAATTAAAATAAAGAAAAGGTCATTTTGGTCAAAACTCTTGAAATGGGAGGTGCTCTGAAGTTCCAGAAGTTCAAATTTGATGAAATAATGTCATTTTTGACCACAGGTTGTCTGCCTCGCCAAGCCTTATGTTTGATTTTTCCGGAGTTCAAAATTTATTATCCATTACCGTACTGCACATTTTGCTTTCACCACCAATATGTACTTTTTGATACAGCGTAACTCGAAAACCGTATGGAATACAAAAAAACGGAGACCACTTTTAGTGTTGGGCTTTACATGCTCTACAAAATGCAAAAAAGAATGGGTCTCTAGCATTAACGGTTCCCGAATTAGAGACAGTTTTCAGTTTCGGTATCTTATGGCCGCTACTCCCGTGAAAATGTACCGATTGACCCCAAATTCACGGAGATGAAAGATGACCTGAAGGGTAACACTTTCCAATAATATTATTGGTTAAGTCTGTGTGGTGTCTGAATAACAGGGCAAATAATTTTTTTTCGTAAAAAAATTCCTTTTTTTGAAAATTTTGGCCCGTTTGACCTTGAAATAAAGGTCAAAGGTCAAATCCAAGGACATATTTGAAATCTACACATATGACTTTTGGAAAGCCGTCTGTAGAAATTTTTCCCATAATTCCTTCCGTAGGGTAGATAATTAGCATTTAATTTTGCCATTTTTAGACAAGGGTGCATTGCAATGAGTGCCACACCTAGACCCCAATACCGACAAAGCCCAAATTTTACGTGGAACGAGTTGAGATTATATGTGACCTAAATCCAAGAGATGGGTACGGAGGCCCTTACCGTCTAGGAGGAGAAGCGGTAACGGTAGCCGTCCGGCGGAGCCGGCGGAGCCGGCGGAACGATCCGGACGGGACTAAAACCATGTGTACCGCCAGCGCTAACGCTGGTGGTACAATAAGGTATTTCCCGAAAGGAGGACACTGGAATATGAACGGCATGTTCTACGTAGAATGGAATACTCACACTCCGTGCATGACCACATGCTGTGGCACACGGGGTAGATTGCAACCGGCAATGTGTCTTTACGTTTCGACAGTATTGTGTGTGTGTGTGTGTGTGTGTGTGTGTGTGTGTTAGAGAGAGAGAGAGAGATGACGTACATAGTTTATTTGTATGAGTTCCAGCACATCTTTTGGTCATCATCGGTTTTTGTCTGAAAAACAGGATAAGAATTTTATTTTCTGACAGCACCTACTCTTTTACAGATGTAAATACCCAAGTGTATTAAGCGCTGATGAATATTTATGAGGCTGATTCGGAAACAGTGCCGTCAATGTGTCTGGAGAGAGACGTATGTTTTGACTGTCAAAACTGTACACATCATTACATCCATTCATCGTTCAGTGCTTTATGCTTTATTCTCTTTACTGATACACTGCATGGCGATATCACTGGTTGAGCTTACCGAATCTGAGTGTTAGAAAACATCAAGGCAACAAGATTTAGATTTAGTCCAGGAAAGAGCATATACATTCACCCAGACATCCCATTTAATGAGGCACTCAAAATTTCTAACAGTGTAACACTTGGCGACGGAAAGGAATTACAGTCGAAAACATTACTCCACAATACATGTATGACCAAAATGCAGCTACTAGCTGACACATATAAAAAATAGGATACTATAAATATAGGCCTACTCTGCGTCGAACTCAAATTTTTTTTTTACCGTAATGGGTCCCCATACCTAGCTCGTTCTAATAAGCTCGATCCATCTCCAAGAGGTTATTCGCTAAATTGCTTTCAGCTTAAGCGGCTTACATGTCTCGCACGCCTACTGAAGCTGCTAAATAATAATTAATTACCCCCTTGCAGCTTCAGCACACTCAAACCGTGGGCACTGAATACTTTAAATAAATGAGATACTTTTAGTGTGTTTTTAATTAAACAGACATTAAAAATAAATTAGAAACATCTACAAGGTGTTATGTAACTATTATCACTTTTACTGTAAACCGTTTCTACGGCAAGACGCCCAGTTTTATCTAATACATTGTTCCCAAAAATGCATTGCGTTATTCTCAAAATCAAGCATTCACAAAAACCAATCCAGAGGCTTTTTTCACTGAATGTGAGCATATACCATTGGCAGCAAGCGTTGAATTAAATCTACCACCCAAAATGCAACCAATCTGCTAGATGTTAATTCAAAACTTAACAAACGGTCTGAGTTATTTCATCCATTGTTGGGAATAATATTTCATGCAATATATAGAAAATTGCTATTTACGCTTTCATTCCTAGTCCGAAGTAGTTGCTGCATATAAAAAGTGTGTCTTGATTTTAGTTGTTAATATCTTAATTAAGATGTTTTTGTATAGAATACATGCGTGTATATCAGATACTCACGGTTTGATTTCGTCAACGGGTTACAATAGAAAAGTGCATGTCTATATATTTGTTGGACCTATTTCAGTGTTAACATAGCAGGAAGAATTAAGCATTATTTTCAATAAGGCTGCGACACAATGAATATGTATCTCACTAAATCCACGAGGACTTTGGCTGAATGCAATCAGATTAACAAATTAACACACTTCCGCCTGGAACTGAGTAGAATGCAGAAAAGATGGCCAATATACGAGTGCGTTGAAAACATATGCTTCATAAACAAGACGTGTGTGTGTGTGTGTGTGTGTGTGTGTGTGCCAGAGAGAGAGAGAGAGAGAGAGAGCGTGTTTCATGGCTATTCAGTACAATCGCCGATTGTCGAAAGACAGTTGCTGATACATTTGTATTCCTCAGGTAGTATAAATGCAAAACAGATGATGATATCCATAATGCCATCGTTGTTAAAAACGACTTTGTACAATTTTTTTCTTATCAAAGAAATAAAGGCCTGTCATTCATTTAAATTAAAATACTCAGCTAGTCAAAGTGGAAATTTTGTAAAGTATACATCTATCCAGAAGAATAAATCAAAGCCATACATGTTACATATATATCCTTTAAAGCTATCAAAATATTTCTGAGTCGTAACCTATTTCACCACAAATCTCTACTGGAACGTCTTTATTCACCGTTACAAACCAAGAAGATACAAATGCAAAATTTTACAGGAAGAAATACTTACGTGGAAGCTGCCAGACCTACAAGACATAGAAACAATACAATCTTCAACATCTTGGCGTCTTTGTGTCGTCGATAGTTCTCCAGTCTCTTCTGATCCTATGAAGTGTGTGTCAGACGGTTTTCAGACCCCGTTTTATAGGAAGGTTCTTAAAGCACTCCCTCCTTTACGTCATTTTATAGCTGTTCCAACTTGTTTATCTTGCTGAGGGATTGTGTAACATGCATAAAGATGTATTACTTAAGATACCTAAGGGTTTTGTTTTTTAGCATCCGCAGCTACATAAAATGTAGTAGGCCGGATTTGTATCTAGACAAGTAATCAAAAAGCGATTACACAAAAGATCGTAATGTTTGTTGTGACTTTCGTCCAGAGACCTTTGTGGCCTTGTGGTTATAGATATCGACCTCCATTGACTCCTGAGGTGGTACTGACTTCCTTCACATGACAGACATCTCAACATTCGGTCAACATTTTGTTTTAGTTTGTTTGTTACATTACATAACATAAATGTACCTCAAACGAAACTTTATAAATGAAAGTTGAAGTTCAGTGGAAATGTTTTGTTGATAAAAAACAAGTGGAAAATATAACAGAAACGACAATAGATAAATTAATTGATTAAAAAATAGATCAATAGGTGAAAATTCGAGACCTGAAGGGCAAAGAAAAACATCATTATATTGACACTGTATCCTGAGCTATGACATCCATAGCCATTGCTTATCACAAGTTTTATTGGGGATATGTTGACGCCGTTCTTTACAATAATCCCCATTTTCATCCTTTTAAACTGTTTTCAGTTTGCATGTGCTGAATAACTACCATTTAAGATAACAGCTTAATCGTTCACATGTAAAGGTTTGTAATGTTAAAATTTGCAATATGTTTTATAGGAGGTGACACTGGGCCCTTAGGCAGTTAATAGAATAACAATGAACACAAGGCCAACGACATAAAACAGACTTATATTGAGGTCGATCTTTGGGGTACTTTGTGTCCTGTGGAAGTAAGAGCGACTTCCTGACTTCCTTTACTTTATAGTTGTCCAGGATTTAAGACCCCATTTCCAGAGATTAGATGATCTACTTTAGATCGACCTAACTCCCTGGGGGTTCACGCTGAATAGCTGTCAGCCGGGCGGACATGAAAGTTAATTACCCCCTTACAGCTTGTAGTAGGCGGGACGGACATTTAAGCCGTATTGTCTGACAGTAATCTAGTGAGACTCCCCGCGGGGATAGATCGATCTAAAAGCTCTGGGAATACAGCCTTAGACCCCATTCCCAGAGATTAGATCGATCTACATTAGATCGACCTAACTCCCTGGGGGATCACGCTAAATAGCCGTCAGCCGAGCGGGCACGAAAGTTAATTACCCCCTTACAGATTGTAGTAGGCGGGACGGACATTAAAGCCGAATTATCTGACAGTAATCTAGTGAGACTCCCCGCGGGGATAGATCGATCTAAAAGCTCTGGAAATATGCCCTTAGGCTATGATTTTAATGCCAATTTAATTATGTATCCATTATACAGATGTGTTTCAGTCTTTTGTTATATATATTCTTGCTTAACCGCAAACAATGGTACCTTAGTCAAAATAAGTATGAACATAAGGTCCAATTCATTAACACCCCCACAAACACATCCACACACATCCACACACGCTTCCATACTCATACACACACACACACCACACACACACACACACACACACACACACACATTCATACTCATAGGCCTACATGTACATCCACACACATATACACCCACACACATACACACACACACACACACACATTTTGTCAACCTGGACACGGGGGGGGGGGGGGAAAGAGGACATGTCCACCTCTATAAAAATATATACATGATGTGCGAATACTTTCAACAGGGATCAGTCAGCCGATGTCTCATTTTTTACCTACTCACATGAAGTGTGACGTTTTGTTATATATTGGTCATCTTTCTTCTTATCTATTGCCTTTCCTGATAAATAGGACAATCTATACGCTACTTCCTAACTTGGTTACTAGATATATATTGGTACATTTGACAGTGATAAAAGAGAGGATGGACGGCGGTGTGTTAGTTGCGACTCAATTGCCCTCCTCATAACGTCTAGGGGTCCATTTTGGATAAGAGATGACACTTTTTTTAGTCTTGCTCAGTAGTGAGTCGCTACATATAAATGTGACATTCAGCATACATTAAGAAAGAATGTCAACGTATGTACGAGATGTAACATCGTAGTACAGAAGCGCTTGACGCCACTCCTGCAGTAGCCATATTGGACACTTACATTTTAATCATTGTTTTAATTAACAGGAAACGTCAAATTCGCCAAACAATTTTACTTCAGCATAAGTTTCATGCTAAAACGGTGATTATAACCAGTGTCAACCTTTGAAAAATCACGAATTTCCCACGTGCTAGGGCTCTGAAATGAGGGTGTAACACTACCCCCAATATTTTTTCTGACAGGTTTATTGGAGTTTGAAAAGGAGTAATACTCATGGCATCGGAGTTTATCCAATTTGGTTCAGAATTTTTTTAGGACCAGTAGACCGTTAATCTGGCGAATACTACTCACAGATTGCAATGAAGAAAATTCGGCAGTATTTTTAATAGACTAGACGCTGATCCTGGAAAGAGGCTTATAAAGTAACTTTTACTTCCTCGGCAATCTATACTCGGTTTGACACTGGTTTATGATAGACAAGTGTATGGCGGTTTATTTCAGGGTGGTCGTCCTATAAAACCAATGGGCCGTGACATTAATAGAGGGCGCTAAAGTCAACGAAAGGTGCGAAAAATTGTCATTTCAGCCTTGTTGTCAATATTTGGTTGGTAATTACGTAATTTTACAAGTGACTTGAATCCCCAAAATCTCTGAATCAACCAACAATATTACTCACAAAAAGATATCTGATTTTTAAGGTTAAAGAACAAATAATCTTTTCAAAATCTTAATTGAAACATAGTCTACTTTTCTGTACTATTGCGGCAAATTTACTATGTTGGTGGTTTTTTGGCGATCATATTTCTTTGCACTGAGAGTAATACAATTTTCCATGTCCATTAAAAGTTATATTTCTATCTGTCTTATGAAGTTACACTTATATGACTTTAATATGTGTGGTAATGCTGCACTTCAAACATCGCAAATAACAATACGACCGAAAATCGAACCGGGCCGCCCGCGTGGCAGGTGAACATTTTATCACAGAACCTTCGATGCTTATCCACATCATGTACTTGCCGAAAATGGGCCCCGCCCCCTCCAATACCCAATAAAACCATCTGTGAGCTTCGTCAATTTTTCTGCAAAATAGTGCGGATATGTTTCCTATTTCGAAAGAGTTTCTGAGATGCATGTCATTACAAGTGATGATTTACGTCTTTGTATATTTCCGTAACATAGATTAATTTTCATAATTAGAGATATCTTCTGCATTGATGGTGATACCTCCGTAATAATTTCTTCTTGTAGTATCACAAAAAGAAAAAAACTATGGATAAACTTTGCATGTCAGAATGGGTTCATTGACCAATGGCTAGTATCGGGAAATCGTTTACTCCAGGAAAATCCGTTTTTTTTTTTTTTTTTTTTTTTTTT